ATTTAGAACAGGTCCTTTATGTGTGTGCCCCAAGTGTCAACCTTTTGACACTCCTGTATCGAGACAAAAGGCAAACCAAAGCTGTGTGATGTCTATAGCCCACCCGCTGGATATAAAGACAAAGGCAGGCAATTAAGGTCTCCAATGTAAGTAAATTTTTTAGTCTTCCCCAGAGCTGATCCACTGTTGAACAACCATTTGCTCTTCATTTCACAGCAAGGCCCCACTGGCTCCAAGTGCTGCCACAGCTCACTGCAGTTATTTGGGTTGTCTGTCCTTGAGGCCCCCTTTGTCCCAACTTTGGTATTGAAAAGCCACTAGCTTGAAATCTCCTCCTGATACAGGTGAAGCCTTGGATAAATATTGGCAACTCCCACCATAAACTGCTGTAAGGAAACAAAAAGCTTTAGCTCTGCAATCAAATTGTGAAAGAGCTTGTTCCTTTACCTCCCTAATATTGCATAACTGCAGCTGAGCGTGAACGGAAAGCAAGTGCGTATGTCTCTATTTTTTCTTACGCATTACCTTCAGAGAAAGGACACGGTTTCTATTACAACTCTGGCTGCAACAGATGGAGTAAGATGTGGGGTTTTTTTTCCTGTGCATGACTATAACTTCTTAAAAGCTGCCTTCCCAAGTTGATCAGGCAAGTCATGAAAAAGGGTCTGTTTATAAAAATGATGATTCTTATCGAGTTAAAGCACTGTAAGGCGGTCAGTACTGTCCCTAAAGAGAGAAAAAGAAAGGCTTTTATGGAGAAATATCTTGTTTTCCTAATGGCTTGGTTTGGAAACAAGTTTATAAAACACATTAAAATCCCCCAGGGGATTCAGGACTGCAGTGTTTCTAAACAGTCACATTTACCTTGACCTTACAGTTGTAGAAGAAGGAAAGATTGCCTTCTTTTTAGCCCCAGGAATACAATACTTGGCATTTATGTAGCACTTGAAAACTTAATAGCTCTAGAACCACAAACCAAGAATCCTCACAGTCCAAACAGAGCAGTGAGTTCAGACACCTTTACTGTCTCCTGTATTATGTCCCTTTCCTTGTCTGCCTGAGCAGAGAGCAGCCCTATGGGGCTTTTACCTGCCAGGGTCAGAAATTGTCAGCAAAAGGCCAGCAGGCTACTGAGAAGCACAGGCCAGCTGAACAAAACCTAGCCTGTTTCATGTAGGTTGTAATGAACATCTCCAATTTTGATCATATTCAAAGTACTGCTAAAGGCTGCTGAGCGAAGAGATGGGATTTTCATTTGTTTGGGATTTTTTGGATGTGACAATCACATTTTCTAACTCTGTTGTCTGCTTTTAAACCTTAGGAAGATCTTGGTTCCCACCTCTCCAGCTTACTACACAAAGTACTTGAGAAAAAAACATGGAAAGGAGAGGGAGGGACCAGAAAGTGAACAAGCTAGAGAGACCAGACCCCATCAGGTTCTAACATGGGTCACCTTCTCCCTTGTCTCTTGCTGTCCTCACTAATGCCTTGGGATTTTAATTTTAGCATTTCAACTTAGCAAATTAATGGGAAAATGGATAAATGTAAGGGTAGCAAGGGGGATTTCTTAATGCCAGTTCTGTAAAGTGAGTGCTTTATTTTCTTGACCACAGCACCATGGCAGAAAGCTTCTGAACGGCTGCATGATCACTAAAGACAAACTATACAGGTGAACACTGCATTCTGTTTACCAGAGGATCAGTCAATGTCCACCCAGAACAAAAACTTCTCATCGAATAGCAGAAAATGTGGACAATGGTGTGTTCCTGAAGCTTTCGTCTCCTTCTCCATCTGACCTATATTAGAGGAACAGCTCACCTTCTCTCTCTGGATCATGATGGTGGTACAATGCTTGGTGCATGAAAAAAACACTGCCTCAAAACTGCAAGACCCCTACGTTGATGAAGAGCACTTCAGGAAGCTTCATGGGGTGTTGCCTGCTAGCCAAGAACTCTGTAAAAAAAGACCATCAATGAGGAATAAAGTCAGAGAACTGTATTTAAAGGAGCTTTCACTCTGGGAAGACAAAGTGAGATGATAATAACAATAACAATAATAGTAATAATCATAGTACTAGTACTAGCAATAATAGTAACTATAATAGTAGTAATAGTAGCAGCCTTCTAGCATAGCCAGGAAGCATTTATGTAAATAAATGAGTCCACAGCAATATGGACTGTAAGATATGCTTGATATTCCACAGTCCTGGTGACCAGCCTTTGCACCTCATTTTCACTCCTAAGTATGCGTTTTTGTTTATATCCTTTTAGCCACTGTTCTAGATGGCAGGGGGGTTGGAACTTGATGATCGCAAGGTCCTTTCCAACCCTAACTATTCTATGATTCTATGATTTATAGCAACTTAGGACACTGGGATCTCAAATCAGGATGGGAACCCCTCCGATATTGATATGGATATTAACCTTCAGTTATAATACACTGTTTCACCCAACTGAACCATTACACTGGATTTTTTAAAACAAAGACTACCATTAAACCCCCTCTATCTTCCAGATGTAAGATACAATTCTCAAAAAGTAATGAGTATAAAACCAAAAAATTGCCAGGTCATCTTACATATTATATAGTACTTACCTGGGAAGAATAGCATCAACTATACATTTAAGAACTCACTAGATCCCTGGGAACCACTATGTAATCATAGGAATGCAATTATAATTTAAAACAAATTTTAAAATCAATGTCTTTATGACTCATCATCAGCAATGCATCCCTCAAAAGAGAAGGCTGACAAGGAAGTGAACTGATGAATGCTTCTCCTGTAATGCTGCTCAGGGCAAATAATTTTACAGCACATTCCAAAGTGCTGAATGGCCTGGAGAGAGGTCAAACCCCTTTGTGATTCCCCTGGGAACAGATCCAGAAAAGTGTGGAATCCACCAGTAAAAAAAATTGACTTGCTGATTAAATTGTTATATTTTTCTCAGTCGGATCCTCTATATCCACCAAAATGAGGGTGCTACAGCAACTTCCCAGATTAAGGCACGTGGCTAAAAGAGCTGTGCCACAGAACTGAAAATGTGCAAGTTCATCATGCTTTGACAGTCTTCTGCAGATCTACAGGAAGTTATAGTCTGACTTTTTCCATACGTAGCACGTGCTTGGTCATCAAGTTTTTGTGATCAGTTCTTTCCACACCTGTGTCCTTTAGATCATAACAGAGGTTGTAAACTGTCTAACTTGTAACCATGGAAATTTTGTTTCTAGGGAATAATTTTGGGTTGCCCTTGTGTCATTCTGAAAAGACTGTATGACAACTCTCTGTGGATGGAGAGGTGGATGCCAACAGGGAATGTTCTTAAGTGGAGCACATTATCTGAAAGGGGTTAAAACCATTCCAAATCCTCTGCATTCAGTGTCAGAAAGTGGAATTATCCTTCTCCTTACACCCATCAGTAAAAAAACAACCAAATAAGAAGTACCAACAAGGACCTCCCTTTGATGCAAAATAAGTCTGTGGTTCTGTTTGCGTGCTTCCTGTGACACTAGTATCTCATTACTAAAATAATGATGAACATAATGCTGGTTAAGGAAGGACTTTCAGTTTAGCAGCTCCGGCCAATGAGCATATATGGCGTATGTGCTAATAACATAACATGCTCATAACGGAGCATGGCACCAAGTTGGAGAATGTCGTAAGTCATTGCTGGCCCTCACAAGACAATGGATGAGAACAAAATCCTTCTCCCAGGGCTGTTTTTATTGGCCAGGATTATGAGCAGGGAGCCTGGCGAGGCTGAGGTGGTGTTGGTGGGTTCACTCTGCAAGGATTCACAGGGATGGCATTCTATTTCTGCACACGTGTCCAGTTACAGTGGAGAAGGAGGCCCTGAAAGACAGCCTGCAGAGACTCCCTAGTGGAAAAGCCTGGCACATCCGTTCTCAGCCCAAAGCAGGGCAATTCAGCACCAGTCCTGAGACACCTGATGTATCCGAAGTTCAGTTAAGTATCTGCAGGCCACCAAGGCCTTTGGAGCCCACAGTTTTCTTTTGGTCTGAGGCTCACCCTTGCTCTGTTCTCTAGTTTTAAACACAAACCTTCTGCCTGCCTTTAAAAAAGAAAAAAAAAATTTATTTTTTTTTTTTTAATTAAACGGAAAGGGGAGACATGTCCTGAGAAAGATCTTAATAATGCACACATTCTTAATGCCTCGGCTTCGGAGTTGTTATGAATTCCCAAGGAAATCATCTACTGCCTCCCATTGCTATAAGAGTATAGACTATGGGTCGTAATTAGAATCATAGAATCATAGAATAGTTAGGGTTGGAAAGGACCTTAAGATCATCAAGTTCCAACCCCCCTGCCATGGGCAGGGACACCTCTCTCTAAACCATATCACCCAAGGCCTCGTCCAACCTAGTCTTGAACACTGCCAGGGATGAAGCATTCACAACCTCCCTGGACAACCTATTCCAGTGCCTCACTAGGTTGTCCAGGGAGGTTGCGAATGCTTCATCCCTGTAATTCCTGTTCACAAAATTTCCTCTGAAATAGGCATGTACTGGTGTTTTCAGGAATGACGTAGTGCATGCCTGCCTTGCATCATCTTCTGCACTGGGCAGCTACTGAATATGTGAGAGAATGCTAGGATGGTTTCCTGGGGCATGTGAAGGGAGACTGACTTATCTTCACAGACTTCTGGGGAATTTCCCCTGGAGCTCTGAGATGAAATCTACCAGGCCTCAGCAAACTAGTGAACATCACTACTGGCTGCTTTACAAATAGGTAAAGAACAAGGCAAAGACTAGTGGAAACCATGCTTCAGAGCCCATGTGGATGCCCCTGAGCACACAGCAGGCTTGGCAGGACCCCAGCATCCAGTAGGAGATGGGGGTGGCTTTGCTCACCTCCAGAGCTCACGTGTTGTGACCCTGGTATGGCAACAACCATAATCAGAGGTAACTTCTCCAGTGTGATGATTGGTGCTGCCTGAGGATAAGGGTGAGAGGAACAATCTATTAACAAGACCTCTTTGGGGTTTGTTTTTACCTGTAATAACCTTTATTTCCTCACATTTCCTCTCTGGCAAACATGTGATGGCAACGTGTAAGAGCTTGAGGAGCAAGCTGAGCTTCCCAAAGTAGATTTTGACACATAGATGAGGATGTAGGCACCTTGTTTTGTGGTGGAGCCACATCAGGAACACAGCACCTTGTTTCTTGTTCATTCAGAGCATACACACTGCCAAGGCCTAATGCTGTTTCTTGTTAGCTCTTCAGCAGCTCCCCAGGCCCCAGCTGGCAGTGGCTAATTGCAATCAGCAGGTGAGAAATTCAGTGTCTCAGCAATGGAACTGGTTCCAGGTCTGGGACACATTCTGGGAAATGGGGAGTGCCTGGATAAAGAAAGGGAGATACCTTAAACCTGAACTTCTGTGAAAAGCACTACTTTAGGAAGACATCAATGCACAGGACAACTCGCATTTACTGGAAGTTATAATGGGACAATCTAGTGTTAAGAGATGGGAATCTTTCAGCATTCACCTCTGGTGGCTTCTACTTTCAGTCTAATTTGACATGTCTGTAACATGGCTTTTTTTTTTTCAAGGCTATAAGCATCCTTCTGAAGCTCAATGGGCAGTGAGAATACAGTGCCTTACACTTGGGCCAGCATTTCAAATATGGCTCAGGGTCTCAGTGTCTGACATTGCCATCAGCCAGTGGCCTCAGGTGGTGGGCAGCTTCCCACTTCACTGTGGGTGTTGTGTGGGAACCAGGTATGCTAAAGCCAACTTACGGAATGAGTGTATGTTCTGTGTCTTGTAGCACCAACTGCTTTCAGATGATTTTGTCTGAGCTAAAGATATCTCTACCATCTTGTCAGTCAGAGCCTGCAGCAGAGGAAACAGTGATTAAATCTGCAAAGAGAATTTGCTGCTTTCTCAGCCTGAGAAGTAGATCCTTTGAGGTCAAGGTTGAGTCACAAAAGCTGAGAAGCTTGCCAGGCAGCAATGTAAGTTTCTCTGTTGATAAATTTGAGAGGACTTCCATTTCCATGGCTAGCAATATAGTATCTTGACAGGTGCTCAGTTATCACAGCAGTAGGTATGTTACAGGACACAGAAAGCTATGGATGACGGATACATGTTTGAGCACCTCTACGTTTTAACGGGGTATTGTGAACCTAGGATTCCTCTGAGGTAGATGAGTGAGCCATTTCCAGGTGGTTTAATCAATGGAGAATGAAGATTTCAGTCCTGCAAAAACAAGCCACCACCTTCTTCCAAAAGAATTCCCACATTACCTCCCATGTGAGGATGGCCAGAATAGTGGATATGTGATATTAGCATATTTGCTGAGCAGTTCCACATCAGTGATGCTGTATGCAGCTGCTGAAATGAAAAAGCATTGAGCAGCCTGGGAACAATGGGAGAGATGCTTGGATTCTTCTAATGTGAGAGGCATGTTGTGTTTATTTGTTTGCAATTGTGCCAATGTTACAGGGCCATCAAGGGCAAATTCTGCTAGATATAGATCAGCGCATGGCCTGAAAAAGCAATTAACATTTTGTTATCATCCCGTTCATATGCAATTAAAATAGGGTCGATTCCCCTTCAGATAAAGGTGCATAAATAAGTAGAGACCAGATTTGAGTCCTAAAGTAGACAAAGGTATCCTGAAAGTCGTAAAAGATCACTTGTCAATTCAGTCACTCAGACTGAAATGCTGCAGGAAACAAATGGAACACATGGAAATGGAAAGCAAATGGTGAGATAGGATGCATACAGCTTTTTTGTTGTTGTTTCAAAACCCAATTTTAATTGCTGTGAGTTTACAGATTAATGAAACAATACTTTTCTCCCAAAGACAACAGCTGTTTGGTGGGTAATTTTAATTACAACCTTGTGATAACCTCCCATGGGAGTTCATCTGAGCTGCCAAGTAACTTTCTTAACAAACAGTAAAGACAGTCACGAGACTGTAGATAGAGAACTAACAAGTGGAAACAATTGTGCAAACTGAAACATAACTTGGTCCCTTGCATGAGTATCTCTGAGTAGAAGAAAAAGCTGGAGAACACAGACCACTTTGTCACGAGAATACAGCTAGTACCAGTATACACACAGTCACTATTGCTGACTATCAGCTGGTGCAAAATGGCACAGCACATTTGATGACAACTGACTGCACCCCAGCATGCCACCCATTAAGCAATTTATTGAAGCACGCAGTATGGATGCACTGCTTTGAGGTAGACTCCACTGCTGAAATTGCTGCTAAATGGCTGGAATCAGGTGCTTCTTGGGTCAAACTGGATATTGGTCACTTAGCATGACATTAATTGTCCCAGCAACCAAACACTGTAAAAAAGAGCTTCAGTTGGTTTAGAGTGGTAAAGTTCAGAGCTGGTAGAGTGGTAAAGAATGCTAGTGACACTCCCTGCCTGGTGAAAGCTTTTAGAGCCTTTCACAAGCTGCAAAAGTGCACATAAGTGATCAAAGGCGGTAGGGTGGGTGCATTATTGTTCTCATTAGAGCATCATCTGCCAATTTATTGCAGCAAGAAGCCAGCAAATGCAAAGCCTTCTCCCTGCAAAAAACCCAGAGTGTTTTTTATGTAACATTTACAATATTTCAGGGTCGGGCATGGGTTGTTGTGACTGTAGTGCTTGCTGAAGCCTGGCTCTCTATTTCTAAGAGCAAAAGCAGGCAGAGGAGATGGCAGTGCGGTGGACACAGCAAAGACCCCAGCACATGGATGCAATGAAGGCAGTGAGGGCACAACAGGCACCACATGGCCTGGACTGTCTGGTAATGTAAAGCACACACAGGATTTCATTATAATGAAAACCTGCAGATTCTTACCAGGCTGTTGATTTTCCTTCATACAAAGAAATACATCACTGTCTTAGAAACATGCTTCCAGCCACACATTTATTAGATAATGTGGATTTGATTTTTCCCCATCTTCACTTACTTGTGGCCTAGATGCAGTTTCCTTTTTGAAGTATGTGGTTTCTGTAGTACAGGACCAAACATCTTAGGAGCTCTTGAATTACAAGAATCCTAGCCTCCTCTTCTTACAACTGTCCATCCACCCTCAGATACATTTTAATGGACAGTCTAAGAGTTTTGCTCAAGATATGCTGTTGGAAGAAATACTATTACTTGGGGAGCACGCAGGGTTTGGCCATTCATTTACCACAAAATTTGTGGTATAGTCAGCAGTTCACTGCATGACTGCTAGAGACCAGGACTTAGACCCTGTACAGTAACAACAGGGTAACACGTAACCCTAGTTTTGTTCCTCAATATACAAGCCAAATAGTCAGGCACTGCAGGTCATAGTGGTATGAGCAGCCCTGGGCACGTGCTCAATCCCTACTGGCATCAGCTGATTGCAGGAGCATCGGAGGTATCACTCCCTGGGAGAGAACCTGGAAGCCTTGGTGCCTTCACTGATCCCTATGGGGATGGATTGGGCAGCAGTCTGGCATCTGCACAGCAACGCCTGAGAAACTGCCTGGGAGCTCTGCACACAGTTGTAATAGAGATGCAGTGAATTAATAAAGCCCTGTGATGATCCAAAGACCTCTGTGTGCTATACACAAGGCTCTTTGCACTTGCTAAGGAAGCTGCACGATATAAACAAGCAGGAGCAGCCTTCCACTTCTAAAAAGAATCCAGAATTTGGAAGTTTAGGGAAGTGGCATGCATGTGCCCTCTCTCAGACAGATCAGAATTGTCTTAAGATGGACTGGAATCCATCTTGCCTGTTTGCTTTCTCAGCTATATCAGCCCTCGTTGGAGAGAGGGAAAGTGTGGAGAGCAGAAGAGCAGTGGCCTGGTTATCCTAATGAGCTAAGGATGCCCTGCCTCCCACTGTGCTGCTCTGATCCCAGCCAAATCTACCAGGTGAAATCTGGCTCCTGCCAGTTTATAATGGGCAGCCACACACAGCAGCTTATGCCCTGCAGAGCAACCTAGGGAAAGGGAAATCCCAACACATAGAAATCCTTCCCACCATTATACTTAGAAGCATGAAACAACACAGGGGACTGCTCTGTGGTACAGCACTGACCTAATAGCATCTCATTCACAGCAGTGCAGCTGCAGGCTGATGGCAAGGAATGGACTAGCCAGATCTTTGCAAAAGATAGAAGAGTGAGAGGGCATTTGCGGGAGGGATTGCAAATGCTTTACCAGCTGCACTCCTGCACCAGACTTCAGGGTGCTGCGAGCACCGGATCATCAAAACCTGGAAGGGAGCTTTTGAAGCAGCATCCATCACTGCACAGGACAGGCCATCCACTGCATTGTGCCTGGTTTGCAAAAGCATCTGCTCCTGGGCAAAGCACTGGACAGCTCGGATTTAGTCACCACCCCCCAGGGGAAGCTGGGACCCCAGGCACTTCAGCAAATCTAGGCTTATGTGTTTCTAAGTTTCTGAAGTTTTGCTGGCCCCTCCTTTTCCTTTGTGGCTGTAGATCAGAAACGAGAGAGAGCAGAGAAAGCAGACAGTTTGTCTAAACAAAGGTCAGACTTGCTGCTCAAGGGGCAATAGACCAGTGCTGTTCTGCAGTGAGCAGCGTAACACTGTCAGCTCACACAGGTAGAGAGTCCCTTTGGGAAGGTGAAAGCACTACCCCTCTGATGCAATTCCTATTGTTTATGAAGGCACCCACAAACTCACACAAATAGGACAATCAGATAATACTCAGATAGCTAGTACCTTCTAAGCTACTCAGGTAAAATCAGGCAGCAAATACAGCAGAAACTCCTCTTCAAAACATATTAGGGGGCAAAACCATGCCCCAAACAAGAAAAACCTAGTTTTTAGCCATGTACCTGAGCATGTTGCCAGATGCAGAATACAGGGTCAGCAAACTACACAAGAGAGGGCCAGGTAGGTAACTAGCACTGGCTACTCTAGCAGGTGGACCTACAAGAGCAAGGGAAAAGCTAAAATTCATTGTTTGCACTGCATCAATGACAGAGCTAATTCAAAATGTGAGTAAGCTGTGTAATCAGGTTACCTAAAATTGTCTTTTACTTCTCATTCTTTAAGAAGGAGGCATTGTTTTCTATCTAAGAATGGCTATAGCCAAACTGTAAAGCTCACAGGGGAACAGTGAAACAACATTATTTCACTAGAGTAGACATCACTAATTACCTTCTTACCTTGTAGAATGTCAAATTAGTTGAAAAAAATAGATCAAGCTACTAGCTACTCATAAATAAAGTGATTAAAGTGATCAAAAGCGCATAACAGGACGAAAACTGTGGCAAGGTTGTAGTTGTGCTCCAACACCTGCATTTCATGATGGAAGATAACAAGAGGCAAGGAGAAAGGTAAACATGAGCATTTTGCAAATGTTTACACTGAATTCCACAAATCATCCCACGGACTCTTGGATTTAATCTCAGGCTTCAATCTCAAGATGGGTTTTTCCAAAGCAAGGCAAGGCTTGTAGGAAGAGGTAATATTCTCTCTTCTGACCTTCAATCATCTTCACTACAAAACACTGTTATGCAATTATTCCAGAGGCTCGTTTATGTTTTGAAACATAAAAAGATCCTGCACAGGTTTAAAAGACCAGTCTAACTTCTGGGCCAACATTCAAGCCAAACTTCGAGTTTTCTTCTGAAGCGTACATAGCCACCCATCCACCTCTTTATCTGGAATAGAAGGAGTGATGTCATGAATTCACTGTGTTTAATATTTATCTTCACAATGCTACTGTGTGAACTAAACATTAAGTATCTCTTTACACATTTGAAACAGCCCCATGTAATAGTCAAAGACAGGACTTTTCATAAGTCCTTTAGTCACCTGGCAGAAGGTCTACGGTTTCTCCATAGTCCATGGAGAAACCTGGGCAACAGAGGAGGGTAATTTATTGAAACTCCCAGCTCCCTTCACTAGCCTCTAAGGCAACACAGCTTTGTAATTTAGACTGTGGTCTTATCACAGGAGCTTCCAGTGATATAGCAAGAATTAGGTGCAAGTCTTGAGTGACTTGACCAGCGTTACACTGGGAGCCTGGGGCAGATCAAAATTGAAACCCGTATTTCACTGGGTCATAAACTATTTCATCTAATCAAATTGTTTGTTTTGGCTCTTACCTCAGCAAGTGGATAGTTGTAATAGATGAGTTCCTCTTGGAAATTTAGGTTTGACCAAGTTAAAAATCTGCAAGAAAGAAGCAGGTGAAAACTAACAAATGACAGTCACAGTGTCCATAAGCACCCCCTTGTATAGCCCACAAAAGAACCTATGTTAAGTTCAATAGATCTGGAGTTAAACCTATGAACCCCATATGAAAGATAATTGGCTGATGTTATAAAGAAAGTCTCCCAAATTAATATTATTTTGCCTGAGATCATTTATCTAAGCAAACAAAGCCAACCAGATACTCAATGGATGCAAGCCAGACCACTCTAAACTCAGCTGCATTACTTTATAGCAGGACTAAATTTGACCCAGCCTATCTAACAGGATGTTTGATAATCAGGATGTCTTTGAGGGATCTGAAATAATTGCTGCTGCTCTTGGCCTTGCAGTTCTTCAGCAGATAAAAGGGGGCGATTCTGCAAAGTTTTCACAGACATTACTGGAAATTCTGGAGAAGATAAGATTAAGACTGATGAAATACATACAAGTATTGTCTTTGGCATTCTCATAAAGTGTTGCAAGATAGAAACTAATTTCCTCTTTGAAGCTGAGCAAAATTGAACCTTATGGTGCAGGAGCATTATGATTTGCACAGAAAGAAAGACTGCAAACAAATCAGGAATGAGAAACGTTAAAATCAGTTGATAATCAGTTGTTTTCCTTATTCACATTTTCTGTCCTGAAGAATATGATTTGGGAAGAAAGAACCTTCCTGTCCTTAATTTCTTACCTGGAAATTATTTTCAATAAAAGGTAGGCATCTTTCCTATCATACCCTCTGCTCATTAGTAAATGATGCGGAATCACTCCTCTTACTGCTAAACATCTCCAGCTTTGAGAAGCAGGCAGCAGTATAGAATCATAGGATAGTTTGGTTTGGAAAGGCCATCTAATGCAACCCCCCCTGCAATGAGCAGTTGGTGGTGTAGGTGCTGTTCATGGGCTGTTCACTGTGTAGTGCCCTGGGAGTCCCAGGCTCAGCATGAGACATAGAGGCAGTGGAACAGCCTGAAAACTGCTGAGAGCATGGGGCTCCACAACAGTTAATATTTGGGTGCAGAGGAGAGGATGGGGAGGGAAGTGGTTATTAACAGTTCTCTGCAGTTTGGTAAATAATTCAGAATTAAGGCAATTCAGCCTTTCCTTGGCTACTGTTGCAAGAATGGATACTGGTAGGCATATGACTGAAGACATACACGTTTTCAGTGTTTACAGCAAAGCATCTCCATTGCTTGTTGTTCTGCTACTGAGAAGGGAGGGAAACTTTATTTTTCCTGTATGTGCAGCTAACAATTCCAGGAACACCTCCCTGGTTCTCCTCCCACTTGCCTTTTTCCCTTTCCTGGCTCCTTTCGTCTGGGATTCCACAACACCAGCCTGAGGCTCTGGGTTGCGCTAACGTTGCTTCTCCCCTCTTTCTTCCAAACCTTCTGAAAGGAGTAAAAAGTGAAATCTGTGGGTTTGTTTTGCAGAGGCAGACCATGGGAAGAACAGGGATCACACAGCTCTCCTGCAGCTCCAGCTTTGGGTGCCTATGTGCTGCTCAGTGTGGTGCTGGGCGGTGGTGTGCAGCATGCCTCCAAGCCCACACTCAGCTCAGGATACCCACTGTGCTGCTTGGGCACAACCTCCTTTCTAGATTTATGCCACTTTTCTTAGTGTCTGGGCTCAGCAGTCAAAATCTTGAGCAAATTCTGGCCCTTGATTAATCCTTGCAGCAATCATCCCACTGGCACAGCCTTATGCCAGTGGCAAAAGTAGGAAAGAGCCTCATCCCAAGAAGACCGAGGAGATACTTGAGGGAATACAGTTGTATTTGAGAGACTCATTCCTCAAAACATCTTCCAGGCACTAAAATCTCAGCATGTACTGAGAGGCTCTGAGAAAGATAAACACAAAATCTGGATACCTTTAGAAGTGGAAATGCTGGGGTATGGAGAACAGTGGGAGCCACAAGCTTTCTTGCTGCTTCTGTGTGCGCAGCTGGATTAAATGCCAGACAGGTTTTAAACTATAGCACATCTCCTCTGGAGGGCAAAGAGAGGCAGCACAGCAGTGAGAACAGCAGGGTATCTGTGAAGGATCTGGTTTTGCTCAGGTATTTCCTATAGGCCTGGTCTATGCTAGGGGAATGTTTCCCTTCTGTGTGACTGTGAAGCAGGGACATGTCTGGTTTCCCTTTCACACAGGGATTTTATGGCTGATCTCTAGAGTGAATCGATTCTTCTGATTTCTAGTCTCCTGCTTTGACCCTAAAACTGTCCTTCCTGATCAGTTCCTGCAGACATGCCCCAAGGAGAACTGGGAATGCGTCCCAGTTTGTGACCATAATACTGCAGACCAGTGGTGCACTGCGCACCATGCCAAACAGACCACGGCAAGTGGGCTGCTGCCATGCGCTGTCACATCAGGTCACCACAGCCGGGGATAAGTCAGCTCCCTGCACTGGGGTTACCACATGTCCCACCTTAAAGAGCTGCTTTCGGTAAGCACCCTGATGTGGGTGCAGCCTGGAGATCATGTCTCCTGGGCTCACAGGTCATTCATGATCTTCAATCCACAGCGTGGCATGGCCAAGAGCAGACCACTAGACACTGAGCAGTGAGTCTGCTTGGGAAGTGATTCACTCCTAGCCTTCTTTAAACAGAAACAGTTGCATGTCTTGCCGGCATAGGAAGTCATGCTGTGGTACTTCTTCAAACAGAGACTTCAGAAAAGGTTTTAAAGTTCTGTTTGAAACATTTTGTTGTATAAGAGTAATGGTGTGGTGTCTTTCTGACCAAGCTTGGAAGCTAGCAAGACCTGATTTCAGCATTTAAATGTGGTACTGTCTGTTTAATGCCATAATAACATTGTCTGGAAAGCCCTACAAAGGCAAAAGACTTTGGCCCATGCTGTAAGGAAAGTGTTGGTTGGAGAAGGCAACAATGAAAGTAGTACAGCCATGATAACTCTGTTTTGCCAGGCATGCACTTACTTCAGTGCCCAACAAGCAACTGTTTTACTGTATTTACATTTATAAAGCCCTGTCCACTGCACCTGGGGCTCCTGGTTAACATAACGTATAGGCAGTTGCACCCATACTGATTCTTACATGGGTCCTCCCATCCTCCTTGGGCATGGCCTCAGGACCTGACCCCAGAAAACAGGCAGAAGAAGACAGGACAGCAGGAATTCTGCAGCTGTCTCTGGCTTGGTTGCATACTTTCAGTTCAGTTTCACTCTCCCCTCAGAGGACTCATTACCCACCTCGCTAGACAGGGTGTCTCAGGTCTGAAGGGTGCAGTCATGTCACTCAGTGATGGCAGCTATTTGCTTGGTTCCCCAGTGCTCAGGGCCAGCATGGGGTAAGCAGCACCTTCACATTCCCGCTGATCCCTGCTAGAAGAGCACCGGCCCTGCATGGTCTTATAACTTGGCTTCACTTTCCTTTATATTTAAAGCTATAAATTAGCACCTAGGAAAACATCTCAGTGTCAGTCCCTGGCAGTCCTCATTTTCACAGCACAGGGCAATAGAAAACTGAGAAACAGAGAAAAATGCTAGGAAAAAGCCCCTAGCAAAATGAAATATTGTATAAGATGGGTCCTAGCTCCCTTCCCACTCACACTGTAAGATTACTTAGGTCCCCATAGCTTCTTAGTCTTATGGGTATGACAAGAGGTATGTTATTGTTGTAATCTGTCTCAAAACCGTGCACAGAATTTCCTAGTGATGCTCAGGACTGCAGTGTATGCAATATGAGAAAGGAGGCACAAGAGAGATTCAGCATTATGGATGTTTCTGCAAGAAGGTTTTGTTGAAGCTAGTGTTTAATCCCGATCTCCCACATACCTCACCAGTGCTTCAACTGCAAGTATATACTTGTTCTCTAATTGCAAAAAAGCGCCAAGGATCTGTAAGTATTTCTGCCAGTGGGATCGCTGAGTGTTGGCATAATCAGAGAAACCCTTGACTGTAGGCTTTCAAGTGTCCAGATCAGCTCTGGAATTTGGAAAGCGAGAGTGTATGAGGACAAACAGGACTGGTGAAACAAAACAAGCAGTGGGTCAGAGTGCTTGGTACATGCTAAGTGGTGCTTTTTCATTCCCCACTCAAACCAGGTCAGGTAGGGAAGGGGGTCCAGATTAAACTCAGGGGCTCCTGAATGCCTTGTACCAGCTCTTAACAAGGTGAAATTTACATTGCCCTCTAGAAAGGCCTTAGTCAAGTAAAGTCTGAGTATCACCTTGGAACGTATCCTGGATGGGTTGTGCAACCTTTTCTCACGCTTCTGCCCTCAGTTCAGTAGCCTCATTGCAAAAGCCAGTTATTGTACTCACTGTGTATATTTGCACCTTTGATGTAGATGTCCCTTTTGTAGTTCCTCCCATCCAGGTATATGGTACTTGGAGAAGAACCATATAAATATTAGTTATGAAACTTATGCGAGCCTGTGAAGTGGTTTAGGATTTCTCTTTGTCACATGAAGAAGAGTAAACAGAGGTGCCAAGCCGGCAAGTGCTTTGCTCAAGATTAGACCTGTTGTTGGAGTGCAACTGGGGGAATAAGGTATCAGTGGAAATATGGGGTCCTGCCTTCAAATTCCTGCTTTTTACTAACAGAGCTGCAGTTTTGAGACTGCATGGTCTTCAGGATGTCATCAGTGTTCATTTGGCCTTCACTGAGCCTCCCAATTCCCTGACATTTCATTTAATTTTATTCTCTTTTGAATCCATATGGTTAAAGGAAGAATGAATTTGTTCCCAGACTGACTGCCCTGCTGATGCCTTAGGACCTGCCCACAGCAGGTGGAGGTTTGCTGGGACAGCGTGCAGTACAGGATGCATGAGGACCACTGGGTGAATGTGGTGGTGGATGGCTGCAGCACCATTGCTCAGCCCCTGCGCCGTGGAGGTGAAGACTGCGCCCATCCCTGGGTGCAACCACCTGGGGTGTGATGATGGCCCATTCTACATATCTGTATGTTATCTAGATTACATTAGCTTGTGTCATTTCTCTATGTCAGCATGCAAATA